AAAGGAAGGAGAGAACAATGTTACAATCTGGTTGAAAGCTCTAAAAAGTCGATTTGGCGTAATACCCCTTTTAACACAGTTAGTACAAATTATACTTCCTTTTAATAGAGCGATTTATAGAGCGCCTTTCAAAATACTCAAAGCAAAGCGCTATTCATTCGCTCAATACTCAGTGGATTGAAGAGAAGAGGACATATAAGGAGGTTTTACAGAATGGATTGAGTTATTGGTACAAAGTGATACAACAGCTCAGCACAGAAACAGCAGTGAAAGAGGAAGAAGAAGAAGTTACTGAAAATAAATAAGGCTTTAAATAGGCCAAAATTATTTTTTTAAAGATTAACACAGTGACTTTTTACGATTTTTATTTTTCATATAATAAAAACTGTGCATATTTAATCTAATTAAAGTGTTGCTAGCAGTGACATGACACCCAAGCTTGATGACATGCTAATCACGGTGGATACTTAAAATGCTTGAAATGCAGTAGGAAAGTGAAGATGAACTGAACCACTGCTGGGGAAAAAAAAAAAAAAAGGAATTTTTACACTGAACTATATAACTTATTTAATAGCAATGGACAAAATGTACTTATTTAATCCGTGTAGCATGCGTTCATTCGTTTTTCAATATAAAACCAAACATAAAAAGAATTTAAAAAAAATATATATATATAATTTTCTTCATTATTTGTCTCAAAAAAAAAAAAAAAAGAAAAAAAAAAAGATAACAATTAATTTTTTCAGTTTTAGATTTGTGTTTAAATGAATAATGAAAAAAAATATATAAATACAATTTTCAAAAATGTATATCGGTCGTTTCCCGTTTCCGTGACTGCGCTGCGTACCGACTGAACCAGGACTAAATCAGGTCCGGGACCAGACTGGAGCCAGGCCAGGACTAAGACTAGGACCTGACCAGAACTGACACCAGAACAAGACTAGGACCAGACCGGGACTGAGACCAGATCAAAACTGAAAATGGTTTAGTCCTAGTTTAGTCTTGTTTTACTCCAGGAACAGGACCAGGACTGAGACTGGGACCAGACTGGGACCAGGCTGGGACCAGACTGGGACCAGACTGGGACTAGAACGGGACTGAGACCGGGACTGAGATTGGGACTAGACCAGAACTGTCAACAGTTTAGTCCTAGTTTAGTCTTGTTTTAGTCCGGTTCAGTCTGTATGAGGTGCAAAATCCCGGCATCGCAATTTAAATCATGAAAACGGGAAACGGCCGTTATCCGTTTTTCCTATTATTCACTTAAACACAAAAACGAAAACTGAAAAAAATAAAAAATAAAAATTGTTATCCACTCCACAGAGCTCCAGTGCAGAATGTTTTTTCCATAAACATTTAGTTAAATTCATCCATCACGCTTGACTAAAATCACAATAAATATTAAATATATTAAAAACACACAATCTTTAGATAAACAGATTACAATTTATTCTTAAGTATGATAGCAGCCGGTATAAAATTCTTAAAAATGTAATGACCAGTGCAGAGATTCATAGATACAAAACTTGTCAAAATCATAATTTTCATGTTCCAAAATGTGTCACATCAAGAGCTCAGATTTGCCTACGATACAGAGGCGGGAAATTTTGGAGCCAGTTTTCACATGTTTTAATCCATGTTTGAATCAAATTATTATTATTATTATTATTATTATTATTATTATTATTATTATTATTATTAATAATAATAATAATAATAATAATAATAATAATAATATAATAATAATAATAATAATAATTTATTTATTTATTTTTAATCCACAATGATAATGTTAATTTTTTAATGTATTCATAAGGTGGAGGCTTTAATATTACGCCCTTTTGTTTTTTTTTTTTTTACTCTTCCGGCACCTACTTTATTTATCTTTTTTTTTTTTATTAATTCATTAATTAATTGAATTGTTATGTTATATATGCTAAATAAATAAATACAAATAAATAAAATAAATAAAACAAAGCTCCTTTTAAAACGATTGAGTGCCTTGAAGGTGAAAAAGCGTTATACAAAAACATGATCATTGACCGTTTATTATATACATCAATAAAAACTAGACATATAAAATGTACTTAATTATTTCACCACAGCAATGCAATTAATTATGACAATTCATATTTGAATTAATTTATTTACACAAATGTGACTTCTAACCTTATAAAAAAATAAGTAACAATTACTCAATAAATTCCTGACTGTTAATCGTGGTGGTAAGTACTTTTTACTTAATACTGACAGGTAAATTGTACCTGATATTACAGCAGTAAAACTGACTTTAAAAAAGTGCCAGAGCAAATTGTTACGAGGACTTTTTCCAGTAAATCTTACAAGTTCTTTTTGTCAGAGCGCTGTTTAAAATGAACTACTTTTCCCATGTTTTAAGAGGGTAAAAATCATGCGCGGTGTCTTTAAAGATCCGTAAATCCCATGTTTAAAGCAGTTAAAAGACACTGCGGTGGTGCGGAGTGGCGCCCGCTCCTGTATCTGTCACACGTGGCACTTACAGGCTCTGTGCTGTGATCTACTGTGTGCTCTGGGCTCTAGAGTCATTGCAGTTTTTATTGAGTGTGTTTGCCCACAGGCCGACCACATGTACACAGATCAGCGGCAAGGACATGCGCACTACACTCTCGAAATTCACATGACCATTTATCTGCACTACTAACACTAACACGACTTCATTCATAATCAACCAACTACTACTACTACTACAGTACTACTACTACTACTACTGCTGAATTTGATTTCTTATGCTACTACCAATACTGCTATTACTACTACTACTACTGCTACTACTGCTTTTGACGTAGAGTGGTTATGCTACTAGTAAAACCACTGGTACTATCACTACTACTACTATTACTGCCACTATTGTCACTACTACTACTACTGAATTTGATTTCTTATGCTACTACCAATGCTACTACTACTACTGCTACTGCTACTGCTATTGTCACAACAACAACTACTGCTACTACATTTGATATAGAGTTGTTATGCTACTAGTATAACCACTACTACTACTACTACTACTACTACTACTACTACTACTACTACTACTACTACTACTGTTACTACTTTTGATATAGATTGGTTATGCTACTAGTAGACTACTACTACTACTAGACTACTACTACTACTACTACTACTACTACTACTACTACTACTACTACTACTACTACTGTTACTACTTTTGATATAGAGTTGTTATGCTACTAGTACTACTACTACTACTACTACTACTACTACTACTACTACTACTACTACTACTACTACTACTACTACTACTGCTGTTACTACTTTTGATATAGATTGGTTATGCTACTAGTAGAACAACTAGTACTATCACTACTACTACTACTACTACTGTCACTACTACTACTACTGCTTTTGATATAGAGTCGTTATTCTAGTACAACCACGAGTATTATCACTACTTCTACTACTACTACAACTACTTCTACTTTTGATATAGAGTGATTATGCTACTAGTACAACCACACCACTACTACCACCTACTACTACTACTACTACTACTACTACTACTACTGTCACTACTACTTCTATTGCTGCTACTCTACAGTCACTACTACTACTACTACCACTACTGCATTTGATATAGTACAACTACCAGCATTAACAGTACTACTATTACTACAACAACAACCACTACTACTACTGCTGCTGCTACTACTACTGCTACTACTTTTACATTATTACTTTTTCAGAAATATAGTTTCCATGATTCAGACTTAGTATTTATTAATTAAGAGTTTAGAGTTAAGAGTTAGGGTGAGGTTAGGTTAAGAAGTGACAAAGCCTGAATATTTTTTTTTAATTATGAATTAAGTCTTTGCTCATGTATTAAAATGTATAATGCATTACCAAAATATAATTCTGAAAAAAGTAATGGCCCCAACCTTATACAAAAGTCTTTTATTTTTACTTTACTTAGCTGCTATACTTTGTAATATCATAGGGGCATGTTTAGTTGTAATATTTTTGTAAAGTAAGTAAAAAAAATATTGCATTATATTCATAGATATTACACATTTAAATTCAAAATGTAAATGTTTTCATATATAGACCCGTTTTTTGTAGCACTGTCGCTCATCTCCAGTAGTCACTTCCAACTCTCATTTAAAAAACACTTCAGAGATCAACAATTGTAACCAAAGCTGTAGATATGTGTCTGTGTCTGTGTGTGTGTGTGTGAACTAGTGACGTCACGGCCCTTGCCCTCTCCCTCCCTCCCTTCCTCTCTCCTTCTCTCCTCCTCTCCCTCCCTCTCCCTCTCCCTCTCTCTCTCTCCTCTCTCTCCCAGGCGCACACGGGTGAGCGGAGAGGCAGTAGCAGCAGCAGCAGACACTTGGTGCTAACTCAGAGAGCGCACGGCGGAGGAGAGGAGGCGGACTGGAGTTATGCCTCAGCCCTCGGAATACAACAGCGCTCTTGTGTCTGTCCCCCCGGCGCACTCCCCTCTCTGCTCCTCGGCTTCGGACCCGCGGAGCCTCTGCGCGCGTCACAGTTTCCCCTGGACGCTCCCTGGATTTTGCTGAAAAAGTGCCGGGACTAAAATGAGGAGGCTGAACGCGGAGCACACAGGCACCGTTTGTTGCTGCTCGTCTCTGGGTGGATATTTGGCTCACTCTGTATGAGCTGCAAAGAGAAAAGGGGGAATGGTGCAGTAGAAGTCCCTCTCACTTCTCTGTGCGTCTGACAATGATCCAAGAGCAGCAAGACCGCAGAGTCTTTTATTTTCAAGATAACTGTTTTCTTCGAACGGATTAATCTTTTTGGACTACATGGCGCGCGCTTCAGCTGATAGCGTTCTCCGTCCCCGTGTGCTTGCTTGTGTGTGAGTGCGTTGAGAATGAGAGCCCCCTTCCCTTCCCTCCCCTGCCCCTCCGCTCCTTCGACGCACGGCTCTGGCTGCAAACTTAAATGCCGGATCTAGACGTGGGCGAGCTCCCGTGGCTGTAAAGATGCTGCGTGGCGTGTTGTTGCTGAGCGTCCTGACGATGAGCCGAGCGGAGAGCCGCAAAACTTCCCTCTCCAAAGACATCTGCAAGAGCCGCTGCGCATGTGAGGAGCGCGAGAACATACTCAACATCAACTGTGAGAATAAGGGATTTACAACTGTCAATCAGTACCAGGCACCGCCGAATAAAGTCTCCCAGCTTTTCCTAAACGGCAACTTCCTGTCACGGCTCAATGCCAATGAGTTTGTCAGTTACGGCAATGTCAGCTCGCTGCATCTGGGGAATAATGGCTTGCAGGAGATTCGGACGGGTGCGTTTAACGGGCTGCGTTTTCTCAAGCGCTTGCACTTGAACAACAACAACCTGGAGGTGATTAAGGAGGACACGTTTGCCGGGCTGGAGAGTCTGGAGTATCTGCAGGCGGACTATAATTACATCAGCACCATCGAGCCGGGCGCCTTCAGTAAGCTCAACAAGCTCAAAGTGCTCATTCTCAATGACAACTTGCTGCTGTCCCTGCCGCCCAACATTTTCCGCTTCGTGCTCCTCACTCACTTGGATTTACGAGGCAACCGGCTGAAGATGCTGCCCTTCGCGGGGGTGTTGGAGCACATCGGGGGCATCATGGAGATACAGCTGGAGGAGAACCCATGGAATTGCACCTGTGACCTGATCCCTCTGAAATCGTGGCTGGACACCATTTCGGTTTTCGTGGGGGACATCGTGTGCGAGACTCCCTTCCGGCTGCACGGCAAAGACATCACGCAGCTCATCAAACAGGATTTATGCCCGCGGAGGAACGCCGGGGAGCGCGCGCACCCCCCCTCCGACTCCCATTTCCAAGGAGCCCTGCCCCCCACCTACCACCCCGGTCTGGTCACCCCCACCCGTGCCCCCAAAGCCTCCCGTCCCCCCAAGATGCGCTACAACCGGCCCACCCCTCGCTTCAAGGACAAGCACGTCTTTGGACCCATAATGGTGTACCAGACCCGCTCTCCGGTGCCCATGCTATGCCCCTCCGTCTGTGTGTGCACGTCCCCCAACCCTGACAGCGGCCTCCACATCAACTGCCAGGAGCGGAAATTACATAACATAAGCGAGCTTAACCCAAAACCCTCTTACCCTAAAAAACTGCACCTGACCGGCAACTACCTGCAAGTCATCTACAGGATGGACTTGGCTGAATACAGCTCTCTGGAACTGTTGCATCTTGGGAATAACAGGATCGCTGTTATCCAGGAGGGAGCTTTTGAGAATTTAACCAATCTCCGGCGTCTTTATTTGAATGGGAATTACATCGAGACTCTTTCACAGTCGCTGTTTGCCGGGCTCCAGTCACTGCAGTACCTATATTTGGAATATAACATCATCAAAGATATTTTTCCGCAGACTTTTAACTCTTTGCACAACCTCCAGCTGCTATTTCTCAACAACAACCTGCTCAGATCGCTCCCTGATAATGTTTTCGGGGGCACGATGCTGACCCGGCTGAATTTACGTAACAACCACTTTTCCTATTTGCCCGTAAAAGGAGTATTAGACCAGCTTTCCGCATTCATCCAGATCGACCTCCAGGAAAACCCCTGGGACTGTACATGTGACATTGTGGCCCTCAAAAATTGGATGGAATTGTCCAGCACGAGCGTGGTTGTGAACGAAATCACTTGTGACTCCCCGTCCAAGCACGCCGGCCGCCTCTTGCGCTCGCTCCGTAATGAGGCCATCTGCACCGAGCCCAGCGAGCTGCCCACCCCCAGCACGCCACCCCCACCCGGGCCCCCACCACCCTGCTCAGCCCCGGCACAGAGCCCACCACCCCCGCTCTGTCATCCTCCTCTTCCTCCTCTGCTCCCACGTCCTCCTCCACCTCTTCCTCCTCTCCTTTCTCTCCCCTCAGCTCCGTCAGCCCCACGGAGTCCAAACTTTCCACTCCAGAGTTACACCCCGAGGTCCCTCTCTCAGTCCTGATTTTGGGGCTTTTAGTCGTTTTTATTCTGTCCGTTTGCTTCGGCGCTGGGCTTTTTGTCTTCGTCCTAAAGCGGCGTAAAGGTGTGGAGCACGTCCCTAACGGAGCTAACAACTTAGATCTCAATTCTTTTCAGGTCCAATATGGCTCGTACAACCCTGAACCCACGCCGGGTAAGTCCTCTGAAAGCCATGTTTATAACTACATCCCCCCTCCCGTCGGCTCCATGTGCCAAAACCCCATTTACATGCAAAAAGACGGAGAGCAGGTGGCTTTTTACCGCAACCTGAAGGAGCTGAGTTTTGGGCCTCTGGATGTGAAAAAGAGGATGTAGTGACGCGCAGTCCAGGGGCGTACACCATCAGCACGCTGGATTTTATGGATAAATCGCCCACCATGTGCACAATGACGTCCACAGAGCCCCCAGAGGTCTTGTACCAAAACTTAGCAGAGAGGCCACACAAAGAACTCCCCACACCCGCAGGACCCCCACCTTTCACCTACAACTTTTGCACTTTACCCAAGAGACCGTGCATCGTCCCCCCCTACGAGGCAGCCACCGCACGCCGGCCCCCTCCTGCCCACGAGCGTCTCAACAAGACGGCGCTGTACGGGACCCCCAGGAAGTACTACGGGGCCGAGCACGCTTCCATAAAGAACAGCGAGCACCCGCTGCTCCTGCCGGGGAAGCTAAAAACAGAGCCTGACTATCTGGAAGTGCTGGAGAAACAGACTGCCATGAGCCAACTGTAAGATAGCCCCCCCGTCCCTTTCCACCCCTCCTCCAGGCCCTGGCCTCGTTCCAATAACCCTGCGTTACTGTAATCATACCTCTATATATCTGTCTTATCTATCTGTGTTCAATGGGCCATGACTCAAGTGAATCCACGGCTTTTCTGGACGTTTTTTTCCTTTTCCATTTTCTTTCAGATGTATAAACGGATTATAAGAATTATATTATTATGCAGTTCTATTTTTCTCCTGGAAGGTATAAATTATTTCTTCATTTTCGAGAAAAAAAATCTAACAGACTTGGATAACGGCAGGTATTCTCATGGGCAGGACTGTGTACAAGCTTTGTGCTCTTTCATACAACTGTATTCTATTTTCCTGCTCCAGTGCAGTAGGTGTTTGTAGAAGAGGAGCTGCAGACTGACATTCCTGTACATATAGCCTCCACAGGTACATGGTGAGTGTTCAATGAAATCTTTCCAAACGACAAGTGATGAATCCAGAAAGTGCCTTTGCACTCCACTATTTTATCACCACTGCTCACAGCAAATGGATATGTTTGACTTTTCTTTTCAAAGTGCTGTATTTTAAAGAAAACTTTATGTAAATTAGAAGACTTATTTGTCCATTTCAAATAGAAAACTATAAAAATGAACTTGAGACTGGTGTGGACTCTGTGTGGGGGTAAAGCCAGGGAGAATATTGTTATTTTCTGCTTTGAATTGAAGTGTCTTTGAGATGTACTAGACTCCACTGTACGCTTTAGAGGAGCAATACAGCGCGGCCAAAAACGCCACATTAAATTTTCACTGAAGCACTTTGTCAAGATCTGAGCTGGAGCTAATTCTTTCTCTGGTCTGCATGATTATGTGTGACTGGTGCAGAGTGTGGGGCTGGTTGTGCTGCATGCAGGACTGGTTGTGCTGTGTGGGGATGGTTGTGCGGAGTGTTAGTTTGCAGTCAGGGGGCTGGTTGTGTGGTGCGTGGGGCTGGTTGTGCTGAATGTGAGCTTGGTTTTGTGGCACATGGGGCTGGTTGTGCTGTGAGGGACCAGTTGTGCAGTGAGTGGGGCTGGTTGTGTGGTTGTGTTGGTCTGGTTGTTGTGTGGGCTGGTTGTGTGGTGTGCTGGGGTTGGTTGTGCAGTGTGTTGGTCCGGTTGTGTGGGGCTGGTTGTGTAGTGAGTGGAGCGGGTTGTGGTGTGTGGGGCTGGTTGCGCAGTGTGTTGGTCTGGTTGTGTGGGGCTGGTTGTGATGAGTGTGGGGCTGGATGCGTGGCACGGGGGGCTGGTTGTGCGGGCCTGGCAGTCCTCCCAATGTATGTGTTTGGGGTCTGGGAGTTTAATCGCAATCAAATCAAAAAAGACAGCAATTTTTGAAGTTCCATCATTTTCCTCCAACCAAATTTCCTGTCTTATTCTGTGTAAAAACTGCTAACCCTGAAGTTTAAAACATTTTTGAAATATGATTCTTGTATTAGTTTGCCAGTTCACATTTTTTTGTTTTCGTTGTTTTGTTTAAAATGTGAATGCAATCAGATATTTCCCTCACATCCTTCAACTTTAGTGTTTGTACAGTATGTATGTGTCGTGTGTGTGTGATGTCATCCGGCGTGATTGACGATTCTTGTTTGCAGTTTAATGATCGCGGCTGCCAGGGAGCTCGACCCGGGTCATACGTTTTCACGAACAAAAAAACCCCACTCTCCCTCGTCCATTTCATCCCTATCTGGCAACACGGCGTATTAATATGCGTACAAGCGTGAGATGAAGGACTGCCGCTGGAGCTGGGAGAGAGGCTCAGTGATGGCCTCTCTAATTATCCATGCATCTTTGGCCGGGGCCCGCTCGGTGACAGATCGCAGTTGGCGCGGGTGAGAGCGGTGAGCCAGCAGTTCTCTGACAGACCCCCGAGACAGGAAGAGATAGTCACAAAATGCTGGGTTCCCACTGGAGATAAAGCAACAGAGGGGTGAGCTGTACTGGTTCAGTCCTGGTTTGAGCCTGGTTTAATTAAGTCCTGGTTTAGATCAAATTAAAGGTTCTACGTTACGCACAATTGACTGTCGTGAGCTTTTACCAATGTTATAATGCTGTTGTGTTTTGTTTCATTCTCATATGTTTGAGCAATCCTTTATTATTAGTCTGTCTACGTCTTAAAAGCTCAAAATGCTCTGTTCTGCCTTGCAAAGTTAACATTTACCGTATTTTTCTGACTATAAAGCGCACTTAAAATCCCTTAATTTTCTCAAAAATCAACAGTCCGCCTTATAATCCAGTGTACCTTATGTATTAATTCTGGTTGCGCTTACTGACTCACTGAGTCATGTCGTTTAGTCTGACAGAAGCTGAACCACATCAGCGCTCAAAGAACGAGTTATTTTTTCAGAGCTTACAGTTTATGCAAATTAGTCATGTGGTTTTATGTTTAGTTTCTGTAAATTTTTTAAAAAATGTGCGCAAAGCTGCATTAAACACATTATTACTCAATGTATATTTGAGTCCTCCTCGTAGGGGAAAAAAAAAAAAAACTTAAATTATTCACGCACATTCACGTTCATCATCGACATTCATCAAGACAGAGAGGAGACACCGGGTGAATTATGCCACGATCTGCCAATGGATCGTGGACGCCTGGGCTAAGGATCAGTCTCAAGTGTTGTCCATTTGTTTCACATAATGCACCTTATAATCCGGTGCGCCTTATGTATGAAAATAGACGAGAGAATTCGACATTATTGATATTGCGCCTTATAGTCTGAAAAATAAAATACTTTTGACCTACTTTTTTAACTTCCAAATGATTCTAGTGAAAGTGTATGGCATTTTGAAACACCGTACACTACTCTAAAAGTCTAAATATGCAGGGTTTGTGTGTGAAACTTGTGTGAATGAAACAAAACACAACTCCAGGTCTGTTTGTGACGAGGAAATGGTACTATAATGTAGATAACACGGGCCCTTTAAGTGACAATTCTGAGAGAAATGCTCTAACATTCGATTTGCCCATTAGGTTACGATGTCGTACGCTGTTGTCAACTGGTGCAGTGTTGAAACTTTGCAGTGACATCATGCTGGGGGTGTTCTACATGTATGCCTGTGGTGGAATGTACAGCGGTTGCTATGGTGATGCAATACACACATGAGTCAAAACGGTTTTAATACAAGAGCACGTTTTCAGGAGTCTGTGATCGATACGAACGTTCATGGTCCCGTTTAGGAGTTTGATTTTGGACAGAAAGGTGAAGGTGTTGTAGTTCCAGCTAGATCAGTTCTTTCTGGTCAGATTGTGTTAAAATAAAGCTCAGATTAAAGTCTAACTTGAGTAACTTGAGAACTTTAGACAGAGCAGAGCCTACAGTTAGCACCACAGCCCCCAGCGAATTACATCACTTGCAAAACATCAACGCACAGACAAGATACCGGACTGTAGTTTTAAAATGTTGCAGCTATTGTCATAAATATTTCCTGGGACTGTAAGCACTACTCTGTCTGAGGGTTTTTAGACTTTAATATGACTTTTATTTTAACACAATCTGACCAGAAAAAAACGTTTTGTTGAAAATAAAACTCCTAAACAGGCCCTCGAACGCTCGTATTCATCACGGGCTCCTGAAAATGTGCTGTTTTTTTCTATTTTTCAGCCAACATTAAAGCATTTTTTGGCGGTGTTTGCTCGTGTGCGCATTGCGTCACCATGGTAACTGCTGAACCTTCTGTCATAAACCTACAGGAAAAACGCCTCAAGTCTGATGCAGCTGCTAAAGTATCTATAGGGAGTGAGTTGACACGTGCACTGGTTTTGGCCTGGTTTGAGCTCGGGTTAGTCCTGATGTAGACCTGGTTCGGTAGTGTTGTAGTCCTGGTTGTAGTCCTGGCTTAGTTCCAGTTGCGTCATTATTTTGAGCGAAACTTGGCCCATAGCGTTGTGATGTCATATGCTACCGGTGCAGTACTGAAGGCGGATGATGTAATGGTTTGGGCAAAGGTCAAAAGCGTAGAATTGGTGATGCAAGTGAACTGACGAGGAAGCGATTTTTTTAACAGAAAATGTACAAATAATTACTGATTAAAAGGGCGTTGTGCGACATTTCTGGTGGCCAACCTGCTTGTCTCCGTGAAGATGTTACCGCTTAGTCTGGAATGTTCCTCGTTATGGGATTAAACAGTTTTAATCTACCTGCATGGATTTAAACTACAGGTCAGATCTGTGGAGAGGTGAGTCGTAGTGCAATTGCATGTTTTTCAAGTTTTTTTTTAATTTTTATTAGAGACATAGTATTTGATTAACGAAGGGCCGACATTCTGGAGAAGGCTGCATCTCCATGGAGACAAACAGAAGTTGCATAGTGTTGCTTTACAGGTGCACTATGCCACTTTTTGGTTGGGGGGTTCGTCACCTGCTTGTTTCTGGCGCTATGTCATTGCTCTGACCTGAATGTTCCAGAGTGTGACATTAAACAGCTCTATCTTATTCACCGACATGATTCAATTAAGTGTTTTTTTGTTTTTTGTTTTTATACAGTCGTCCATCGCTGTATCGTGGTTCACCTTTTGCGGTCTTGCTGTTTCGGATATATTTTTTGTGCAATTTTGCATGTTTTTTTTTTTACAGCATATGAGCATTGTGTCCTTCCCCCTGTGACCTGACTGGCTAAGGGACTGTAGACCGTTGTCAATCACTCTCCTCCGTGCCGTGTTTCCTGGCCAGTACAAAATGTGTTCAGCTTGACAAATTTTCATAAATGTTCAATCTCTAGAAGTGTGATTCTGAAGTCGGGCAATTGCCGCTCTTACCTCTGAGGTGCGGAGCTCTCTGTCGGTCCTTTCTCCTGCGGTCACCTTCGAGCCTGTCCCGATCATGAGTCCTAGTTCAGTCCTGGTTTTAGTCCTCCTCTTCAGTCTTGGAGTCCGTCCTAGGTTAGTCCTGGTTTAGTCTTGGTTAGGTCCTTGGCGTATGAAAAAACTTTGATATAATCTCGGGTTAACGGGCGAGTGCGGTCCTGTACTGCGCCGGTGTGGGTCT